TTGGGGAGCGATCAAAACTTCTGTTTGTTGCACTCGGGTTGTGTGTTATTTGGGGCGGGGGTGGTTTTTTTTCCCTGGTAGCAACCGATTTTTTTTCTTATCGATTTTAGACCACCAAGGGATCTTATGACGTGCGCTACTAGCCCACGGCCCCACTGAGATTTTTCAGACTCGTCTAAGAAGGCTATATGTAGATCTTTCCTACCAGAAGATCAGGGTTGTGGCTGAAAGACAGCAGTAAGAAGGGGCCAAGAAGTAACAGTAGAAAGGCTGCAGAAAGTGATAGGAGCCCAGAGGAGGGGGCAAAGGAGGTGAAGGGGTGGGGGCAGAAAGTGGAGATGAAAGCTGACCACAGGCGCCATCACACGAAGGAAATTCATTGAAAATACTTTCTGAGTCTGAATTACAGCTGCTACTAAGAAAATTAAAACTTTCTAGAGGGATTGCAGCAGAGGAATCAAAGTTCTACCTACAGTTTCCATCTTCTACCATGGGTAAACACATGGAGCCTCCACAGTTTCCATCTTCTACCATTTGCAAGGAAATGGAGCCTCAAGGCTTTGGGAATACAAGAATATTGTCAGATCAAGAACTTGCTTCTGTTTTGAAGAAAATTCCCCTTCAGACTGAGGAGGACAACTGGGTTAACGTGACTAGCCATCCCACCCAAGAAGTGAGGGCAACCGCAACCAGTTTTGTAAATGAAGGAAGGGAAATACACAGGGACAAGTCTGTGCTGACACGTCAAGAAAACACCAAACAATTCTTGGCTAGCGAGACTAATATGCCAAGTGGCTTTGGCACGGTGGAACCACTAAAGGTCAACAGCACCTCTAGCTCTTTATTTCAATCCAAAAATGGACAAAATAGTCATCTGAGAGAGTTTACAACAGGTGAATTACCTGAAATGGAGACAAAACCAAAGAACACACCTGAAAGTTTTAAGTTTCAGGATCAACGAATGCACTTGTTCATATTAAAAAGTCAAAGTTTGACCCTCTCACGCTGCAACAGGCTACGGGCTTCTGTGCAAGACTGACAAATGAGAATATCAATCAGATGGCAAACTTTTCATCATGGAACAGTAATGGACACTCCACAATTTTGCCTCCTCTAGTTTCCTCTGGATTAAGCTTTCCAACTTGTCAAATGACTGAGCCTTTGCAACATGTCGAAAGTGTCAAGTCAAAGCTCAGTCTGTAAGAGATATGCTACATGTTACTGTACATGATTTGCTGAGAAGTGACTATGTACTTTTTTTTTTTATCTTACATTTCTTTCCACTAATGAGCCCTCACTCTGGAGGGATCAAAAATACTGTTGGTTGGACTGCGGGTTTGGTTTTTTGGGGGTTTTTTTGGGGGGTGGGGTTCTTTTTCCCTTGTGGCAACCGAAGCTTTTTCTTATCGATTTTAGACCACCAAGGGATCTTTAACGTGCGCTACTTGCACACGGGCCCACTGAGATTTTTCAGCCTTGTCTGAGAAGGCTAGATGTAGATCTTTCTTACCAGAAGATCAGGGTTGTGGCTGAAAGACAGCAGTAAGAAGGGGCCAAGAAGTAACAGTAGAAAGGCTGCAGAAAGTGTTAGGAGCCCAGAGGAGGGGGCAAAGAAGGTGAGGGGGTTGGGGCAAAAAGACACAATCAAAGCTGACAACAGAACATTGCCATCAAACGAAGGAAATTCATTGAAAATACTTTCTGTGTCTGAATTGCAGCTGCTATTAGAAAAATTAAAACTTTCTGGAGGTAGTAGAGCTGAGGAATCAAAGTTCTACCCGCAGTTTCCATCTTCTACCATGGGTAAACACATGGAGCCTCCACAGTTTCCATCTTCTACCATTTGCAAGGAAATGGAGCCTCAAGGCTTTGGGAATACAAGAATATTGTCAGATCAAGAACTTGCTTCTGTTTTGAAGAAAATTCCCCTTCAGACTGAGGAGGACAACTGGGTTAACGTGACTAGCCATCCCACCCAAGAAGTGAGGGCAACCGCAACCAGTTTTGTAAATGAAGGAAGGGAAATACACAGGGACAAGTCTGTGCTGACACGTCAAGAAAACACCAAACAATTCTTGGCTATGTATGTATGTATAGTATAAGGTTTTACGGCGCTCGCAACTGCTAAGGTCATATGAGCGCGCGAAACACAAGTTGTTCACCTCTGCGAAAGTTCACTTCACGACTGGCTAACTAATTTACTTTAAAATGCTAAAAAGTTAAAATATTCAAATTCGGTGTAAATACATTTGTGATCTAAAACAACTTTTAAGTAACAATAAAAATTTTTAATAATATCAAATTCATTCTACAACTCGCCATAAAGGCCAATGGCCTTTATAAAATTTAAAATTCTGCTGGGAACAACGACGGAAAAAATATCCTGCAATTTCTTGCATTTATAATATTTCCTTCGGATCTCTCCAAAGTCTAGACATTCTGTTAAAATGTGTTTAATGGTAAAATCTGTGTCGCATTCGACACAGAACGGCTTCTCATCTTCATGTAGGAGGTATTTGTGGGTTAGCGCCGTGTGTCCGATGCGCAATCGAGTAAAAATGACTTCGTCTCTTCTGGAGAGATCCGAAGGATTTCGCTGTTCTAGTTTGGGTTTAATTTCATATAATTTATTATTTTTCTGGTTTTCCCAGTGGCTCTCCCACAGACTGGAGGTGTACTTTTTGACTTTATTTCTAAAGTCAGTCTGTGGGAGAGTGTTTGTCGTTGATCCCAGCAGAAGGGATGAAGCTTTCTTCGCCAGGTCGTCTACTTGCTCGTTTCCTCGGATGCCCACATGGCTGGGTATCCATGCGAACATGATGTTTTTTCCTGGCTAGCGAGACTAATATGCCAAGTGGCTTTGGCACGGTGGAACCACTTACTAAAGGTCAACAGCACCTCTAGCTCTTTATTTCAATCCAAAAATGGACAAAATAGTCATCTGAGAGAGTTTACAACAGGTGAATTACCTGAAATGGAGACAAAACCAAAGAACACACCTGAAAGTTTTAAGTTTCAGGATCAACAAATGCACTTGTTCATATTAAAAAGTCAAAGTTTGACCCTCTCACGCTGCAACAGGCTACGGGCTTCTGTGCAAGACTGACAAATGAAAATATCAATCAGATGGCAAACTTTTCATCATGGAACAGTAATGGACACTGCACAATTTTGCCTCTTCTAGTTTCCTCCGGATTAAGCTTTCCAACTTGTCAAATGACTGAGCCTTTGCAACATGCCGAAAGTGTCAAGTCAAAGCTCAGTCTGTAAGAGATATGCTACATGTTACTGTACATGATTTGCTGAGAAGTGACTATGTACTTTTTTTAAATCTTACATTTCTTTCCACTAATGAGCCCTCACTCTGGAGGGATAAAAAATACTGTTGGTTGGACTGCGGGTTTTGTTTGTTTGTTTGTTTGTTTTTTGGGAGGGTTCTTGTTCCCTTGTGGCAACCGAAGCTTTCTCTTATCGATTTTAGACCACCAAGGGATCTTTAACGTGCGCTACTTGCACACGGGCCCACTGAGATATTTCAGCCTTGTCTGAGAAGGCTAGATGTAGATCTTTCCTACCAGAAGATCAGGGTTGTGGCTGAAAGACAGCAGTAAGAAGGGGCCAAGAAGTAACAGTAGAAAGGCTGCAGAAAGTGATAGGAGCCCAGAGGAGGGGGCAAAGGAGGTGAAGGGGTGGGGGCAGAAAGTGGAGATGAAAGCTGACCACAGGCGCCATCACACGAAGGAAATTCATTGAAAATACTTTCTGAGTCTGAATTACAGCTGCTACTAAGAAAATTAAAACTTTCTAGAGGGATTGCAGCAGAGGAATCAAAGTTCTACCTACAGTTTCCATCTTCTACATTGGGTAAACAAATGGAGCCTCCACAGTTTCCATCTTCTA